AGAGTTTGTTTTTGCATTTGCTGTTTAACTTTTTGCCAGAGAATTTATCTGCGTTTATTTTGGGCTCGCAGGCAGCAAAAGCTGGGACTGATAAAAATATTTCCTTTGAAGTTCTGTTTGGCTGTAGTTTCTGAACGAGCAAGGTGGGGGTCAGAACAGATCTGTATTATTATGGGAATTTCACAAGCTGGTTGAATGTAATAATAATGTTTAATCTCATTAGTTTTGTTTGTTTGGAATGTATGGCACCCAGGTGCCACACTGTTCACACATTGATTTACATTTTTATAAAAAAAAAACTTTTAAAAAAGATTTATATTGAAAAATTATGTGTACAATATAATATGTTCGCATTGTTTATTTTTTAGGTTTGGAGTAATTCATTCAGTGTTTACAAATTTGCTCTTGTGGACAAATGGTATATTAACTGAATCAAAGCATCAACTTAATGAACACAAGGAAAGGTTAATTACTCTTGGATTTGGAAACATATCAATAGGTGAGAAATAGTCTTAGTACATTTGGGGAAGTTTTTCTATCCAGTATCTTATTTGACCTATAACTAGGAATTTTAGAAAGCAGGCTGAAGTTGGATCATTGCACTCAATATCTTAATTGTGTCCTTTTTTTCCTTATTGTTTCCTAGAACTATATTAAAGCCGCAGATGAAAAAACAGGGTTGAATAATTTGGGGGTCATATTTTGCATGGTGTTGAAAAGTATAAATGGGAGCAGCAGAAGATCCATTTTTACTCCACTTTTAAACTGTAGGGGGAAAAAAAACAATCCTAAACTCCTACTGCCAATTTTTGATGCCAAGACTACTGACACTTGGCTCTGGATCCTGGGCAAATTCCCAGACACCTGACCATCCTTAATTTTTTGGATAGTAAGTGGGAGAAAATTTCTATCAAACACTTTGCAGCTACATTTTGGCAGCCTGACTCATACGATCCAGGAGCTGGAGTTTTGTTTTCAGGTTCACAATGCTGCGGGATTCATAGTTTTAGATATCCAGTTCCTTGCTCCTGATATGGGTTCCTGTGATTTGCTCTCTAATGGGAATTTATTGTATGTGTACAATAAAGAGAAACCCACTGAATAGAGTGGGACTTGTTCCTACAAAATGGTAGAGAAAAGGGTAGCCATCATCTTTGACTTATAGGTTTTACACTAAATAAATTTTACTAAAGGTGTCAAGTATGTACTTCTGTATTTTCCACTTAAACTATTAGGATTTAAAAGAATAATGGAGTTGGAAAGGACCTTGAGGGTCTTCTAATCCAACCCTCTGTTCAAACATTTCAAAGAAATGGTTGTCCAATGTTGGATGTTGGTTGCCGGAAGATAAGGCAGACTCTGAAGTTCCTGCTCACTGATACAAAGAGCAAACCCCAATATTCCCCATCCCTCCCCCGCCCCCCAATGTCCGGTTTGTTGCCACCCAATCTGGGATTGTTGCAATGTTGTGGGAAGCTCTGGGTTGTTCAGGCTGCTGAAATTTCACACCCAGGGCAAGCAGACTTGAAGATGCCCAGCGTAACCTGTACAAACAGCTCCTGTCTTCACTTATCAGCTCCCCCTCCCCATTTCCCTTCAGTTGATAAACTGGTGTAATTGCCCCAAATTCTTCCTCCCTCCCTCCCTTCCCCTTTGATGGCAGGATGCCAGCAAGGCACCAGGCCGATGATGAAGATCCTGAAACTAGAAGACCTATGAGGTCCTTTCCAACTCTGTTATTCTGTTAACTTTTTGTCACAGGTTAGCATACAAATTTGGAAAAAAATATCACTTTAAAAGACTTGTCATATCTTATTTAAGATATGAATATGATTTGTCCTTGACTATACAGTACTTATTACAGGTAGTCCTCTACTTACAACAATTTAGCCCAAAATTTATGTTGCTAAGTTTAATTTTGTTCAGTTGTTAAGTGAGCTTTACTTTTATTTTATGACCTTTCTTGCCAGAGTTGTTATGTGAATCACTGCAGTTAAGTTAACCAGTTAACCCGGTTGTTAAATGAATTTGACTTCCCCATTGACTTTGATTGTTAGAAGGTCACAAAAGGGGATCACATCATCCCAGGACGCTGTAACAGTTAACTAGGAGACAGTTGCCATGCATCTGAATTTTGATCATGTGACCATGGGGATGCTGCAATGGTTGTATGTGTGAAAAATGATCAAAAGTCACTTTTTTCAATGTGGTTGTAACTTTGAACAGTCATTAAATGAACTGTTGTAAGTTGAGGACTGTCTTTGTAAGNCTCTATTCCTGTCTTCTCCCTTTTCTTTGTTTTGACATGTCCACCGTCTTCAATTTTCCCCAAGGTACTGTCAAACCCAGTGAAATCTTTTGTATTTCCCTTTATTGGGGCATAATCCTCCCCCCTTCAATTTTCCCTATGCCACTGTCAAACCCAATGAAGTTTTTTGTCTGCTTTTAATTTTCCACCATTTCTATCCCTTCATTATCCCCCAACTTTTTCCTTCACTTCTTCCTTCGCTTCCTGCTTATCCTCAATATCTAACTTAAAAATTCTATTTAGACTTGATTTTAATGATTTATGCATATTTTTTACAATTTCACATAGTTCTTCAAATTGCCACCTTTCCATAATGTCCAGTTCTAAAATTACAATTAGTTATACAGTTCTTATTTCAGAGTTCTGGTCCACCTTAAATTTAACTAATTCAGCTGATGTGGAGAGGAAGAGAGGAGGAGCCATCCTGATCCTTTGTTCTCCCTTCAGCAAAAAGAAAAAAAAGACTTTATATTTTCCCAGCTCTTAATTTTTTTACCCCCTTGTTACCTTAATGTCCAGTTCTGAAATTATAGTTAGTTATACAGTTCTTATTTCAGAGTTCTGATCCACCTTAAATTTAGCTAATTCAGCTAATGTGAAGAGGAAGAGAAGTGGGAGCCATCTTGTTCCTTTGTTCTCCCTTTGGCAAAAAATAAAAACTTCGTATTTGCCCAGTTCTTGATTTTATTATTATTTTTTCCCTTGTTACCTTCCATATCTCATTGGTTATAATTGCTTAAAATATATTAATTGGAACAAACTCAAACACAGCAAGTCTCGGGTATGTTTCTCTTTACCTCCTGCTTTTTCCAATTTCTGATTTATGACAATTGGTTAATTAAAACTTCCTGCTCAGAGTTTCACATTCCATTCACAGCACAGGCCAAATTAGGTTATCAGTGAGAAAATAGTGCTTTTTTCTTGATTTTGTCACCTTGTTACATTTCACCTCTCATTAATTGGAGTTGCTTAAGATATGTTAGTTAGAAGAAACTCTAACGAAGCAACTCTCCTCAGTATGTTTTGGTTTCTGTTTCACCCTCCTAATCTCTTTTGAAAACACAATCTTTTCAAATTCAAATCCAAATTTAAAGTTTGTATTTGAATGGGTTTGTCACTTCTCTGCTTTCTTCTTTCTGTCTCCAAATTGTTTAAAGCAAATGGCTCTTTTGGGGTTAGTGATTTAACCCTCCATTTTTCTCTTTCTTTCTTTCTTTCTTTCTTTCTTTCTTTCTTTCTTTCTTTCTTTCTTTCTTTCTTTCTTTCTTTCTTTCTTCTTTCTGCCAAAATCCCGATCTGTCCATCAATATTATTTATACTCTCAAGGTTCTTTGCCTTTTCCAAATTCTGATTTATAACTGTGGGTTAATTAGATCTTCTTACCAGGCTTTTCATCCCATCTCCTGCACGCTACTGCTCAGTTGCTTTGGCCTGAAGTCAGCTTCTTGTGCAGCCATGTTGCCTCCCCAATGCTGATTTAGAGAGCAAATCTCCGACCTACGAGGGACCTGTTGCACTCCCTCTGGGTCTGATGAGACGCTAATCAACATTACATGATTTTAAAGGAGTTGGTGTACAGAACAGTAGAGAGAAGTTAAATTGATCTGTACAGCCTGATAACCTAGTGATCAAATGTTTATGTCAATGAATAGAAATGGAGGACCTAGAATATTCTTTATTCTTGCGTGTCCAATCACACTTGGCCAATAACGAATATTCAATTCGATTTATTTATTTTATTCTATTTTCCTACATATACAACCCAGTATTTGAAATATTGCTGTTAGCCTATTAGGATTGGAATAATTTCTGTGAATGAAGTTGAAAAAGGCTACCAACTGAGCTATGTCAAAGTTCTTACTTTTAGTATAATTCTTTCATTTAACATTTTTTTCAGGTGGAATTACTTTGTTTGCAATCATTACTTTAATTATGGATTCTTTCAAAATTGGATACTTCGCTGGATTTTCAAGTTGCTTATCAATTACAGAAGGCATTTTTCCAGTTGCACATGCAGTCCATACACTTTTGCAGGTAAAACCATTTGGTCTCTTATTATTTCAGATGTATACAACTCTTAGGATTGTATTGTTGTTGTGTAAGAGCCTAAAGTTAACTAACTTGGTTCAAGATTTTTTCAACCCTCTAATTGTATTTTCTCAAAGTCCATTAAAAACAGTATCACAATTACTGGATTGGCAAGGAAATCCCTATATAATGAAAAGTAACTTCCTTAAAGCATTGGTAATCCTGCATGTTTTTCTGTGCCAGTCCATTAAAACGCTTGAGAATTACACAAGATAACAACCATGCTCCCATTCATTTTAGAAGGAAAATCCCAGTGGCTGGCATTACAAGGACTATAAAACCATTTAGTTAGAAAAAGTTACATCTGTTGATTTAATAGAAACATCTAGTTTCTATTTGAGTTCCATTGAAGGTCTTTAATTTTGATAATTTATTTTTCATAATTAACTTACTAAATAAGTTTGAAAGTAGGGAAGCCTGATGTACTGTTAGTACTAATGAACTTCCATCTTGAACTAAGAGTTGCACACTTAAGCAGTTTGATAAAAAGTCACATTGATATCATCATCGTTTTCAGGACAAAAAAGAAATGACAAGAACTATTAGTAACAATTAGAAAAATTTTAAACAAACAAACATAAACAAACATAAAACATAAAAACCATCCTCAAGTTACAAAACCTTTGTGCTCCCTCACACAGTCTTCATTTACAATTTATATAGAATCTCATATTATCAATCTAATATATATGCATACAATCATTATCATTATTAAACATTCATTTGACTACAACCATTATTACTTCCCTTTATGTGAGATATTCTAAGTTTAGAATAAATTTACATTATGGCATTTCATCACATCATCCCAAAACCATCCAGTAAAACTACATCTTTATATTGTATTCTGTATAAAATTGTTTATCTTTGGTTACAAAACTTTTATGCATCCTCTCCGTAGTCCTCACTTACAATTTATATAAAATTTCATATCATCAATCATATACATCTTCACGCCTTTGGATTGGCACAGTCACCATCAAACTGAGGGGAGGGAGGAGCCAACGTCGTGACAATAATTAACATATAATTAACATGTTAACATATAATTAACTACAATAACAATAATGAAATGATAACCTTAACTAGTAAAAGTAACTTGGATATAAATTGTAAATTGGGACTTGGGGAAAAGACCTATAAATGTTATTAATAATTTTTTGTTTAGATCTTGTTATAAAGGTGTAATTTCTTTTGGGTCTGATNAACAAACGTAACAAAAAGGCAACAGTAAAAATATTGGGTTTCTGCCTGGATGGTCTCTTGTGATGAGCTGAGGGACAGAGAATGGAAGTAGTGATCTTCCTCCCATATTTGGGCATACCAGGGGTTGTAAAATCTAAATCTATACATATATATAACAGTATTTTGATCCTGTTTTAGGAATTTTTAGATAGGAATTTCAGGCCCTCTGATTAAGAAATGATTTAATTCTCTTTTTCTTTTCTTTCTGCATAGAGCTGGATGATCATACACCACTTTGCAACTGTACCTACAGCACCCTCTGCTCCATATTTTCCCAAGGAATATATTATTTATACCCCTTCAATATTGAGTATCACATTTTAGCATCCACAATGCTGTATGTGGTCTGGAAGAACATTGGACGTAAAGTTGAATACCTACAGCCACATAAGATGCCATTCAAGTTTCAGGGCACAGCCATAGGCAGCATCTTAGGTCTAGTAGTATTTATTACAACAATAGCAGTTGTAGTTGTTTATCTTATTCAGATTGGGCGTTCAAAATTAAAGAGTGAACTAGCACTTATTATGTTTTACTTGTATGCCGTCACAGTACTAGCAATCATGTGTGCAGCAGGCATTGTGGCGATTCTAATCTATAGACTTGAAGACAATTCACTAGATATTTCTAAAAATCCAGCCAGAAAACTTGATGCAGACCTCTTGGTAGGGACAGCCTCAGGCTCCTGGCTTCTTTCTTGGGGTTCTATTCTTGCAATTATCTGTGCTCAGTCTCATCCAGCATATACATGGTATAGTTTGCCCTACTCTGTACTTGTTATCATTGAGAAATATATTCAGAACCTCTTCATAATTGAATCTATACATCGTGAGCATGACAAGAGTAATGATGATATTAAAACTCTGCGAATATTAACAGTGTCCAGTGGAAACAATCTCTCCCCTACAGCTTCCTATAAAGAAATCTATAATGGAACAAATGGAAAGTTGTCATCCACATTTTATGGAATTAGTTATCCATCTGAGAACAGTTCCAGTTGTGCTTTCCATGAAAACATTAATCAGAACAAGATTCCAGTCCCTCCGTCCCCTACAGATTTTTCATTCACTCCGAGAAACTTCTATGTCAACAACAAAAGAAGTATCTTGAAGAATATTGCTGTATTTTTGTTCTTGTGTAATCTCTCAGTAAGTATTTAAAATAATGCAATTTATTTCTCTAGCAGGACAATTGCCCTCAGTGTGTTTTGTCTTTAACATTAACTTCAATAGAAGTTAATGTTAAGCAGAAATCAGAAGATGAAATTCTTCCTTCCCATGTAACTTGTGAAGCAGCTATACGAGCACAACCACTGGAGGCCTGATGAACTCTTGGACATTTTGTCCTTGGTCCTTTTATCTTCCAAAGAGTAAGCAAAGATTGAACTGGTTAACTGTTGTACCCTGCTCTTCAACCAACAAAGATAGCCAAATTAGCGTAATTTTAAAAACCACTTCAGTTTCTGCCACAAACCAGCAACCAAGCATCATTCTCAAAAGGGACAAGAATTGAGAAGCATATTGTAAGGTTTGAGAATACGTTGAGACCAATAGAAGTTTGAGAATACATCCAAGTCACAATGAGCCAAAAATGAGGCTTAAACGGAGGCTTGAATAACAATCAGTGTTTAATCTTTGATCAAAGTTTAAAGACATGATGGTCAGTTGTTCCCAACATACCCCAAGGATATGCAGGGAAGAACTACACTTCAGAGAAGGTGTAACTCCTTTTTATACTGTTAGAAATGTTATAAACATCAGTAAAATCCCCCAATCCTTGATTTGTTTATCCTCTGGACAGGATAGAGTATTTTAATTATGCCCTTCAGGTATCTCCTTAACTCTCTCAATTGATCACTTAGCTTCTCAGGGAGATCCAAAGGTGTAATATCCCTTTCCAGGATAGTTCTTTGCCCATAGATTGCAGGAGATTGAAAAGAGTTCAAATGGCAAGGATCACATGTTTTGACATTTGCCAGATATTTTACAGACCCTAATAACAGTGCCACAGGAAGTCAGTTGCAGGAAACAAAAGGCACTTACAGCATGCAAGTGTATACGTTACAAATACAATGCATAATATATGTGTCTTACAGAAAACAAATGTTTCTACTAAAACCAACAAGTTTGTATCCTACTCTCCTTCATTCCACCTTTTATTTTAAAAAATGGAATGCTTTCCATTGTAGTGAAGATATTGCCAAATCAGGTGAAATCAGCTACCCCAGTTCAGGGCTGCTCTGGGACTCAATCTTTCCAACTTCGGCAGTTTTTTTGGCTTTTTCCCTGGTCATCAATTTTGTGAACAAAATTTGTGGGATAAAATTTTCCACAGATACATCCTTTTGCTAACAAATCACGTAAAGCAAAGGTATTATGGGATATTGTTGTTTTAAATGTTAGAGCACTAGCAGTTGCATTAGTTACTATTGCAAGCTGACTGATATGTTTTAAATCAACATTTTCAACTTTTACTAAACTTTGCAGTTGAATTACAAATTATGCTAATTAACTTCTAGAAACATTAAATTTTTATGTACCAATTAGAAAAACCAGATTAAATGTTATTAAAACCAAAATCAATGCACCACAGTAAACATGCCTTTAATTCAATCTGATTCTCTAGTTAGCTGAGATTTTTGCTATGGCTCTTCAATTCTTCCAAGCCACTGCATTTTCGAAACGGATTTTGAAGGATTGCAGTTGAAGGCTTGGAAGTGCATTCAAAAATGCCTGTAAAGGAGCATTCTGTTTAGAACGTAGCTTGGTCTTCCATTGGAGGTCATCACATCTGGACTGCAGAAATCTGAAAGACAATTAGATAAAAGCAGCAAAATTGTGATGGAATCTCCATCTAGACTTAGGGAGGTATTAATAGGGGGGCAAGTTTAGTCTTTTCACTGCAGAAATCAACAGAAAGCTGCCCTCCCCCAGAATTGCTGAAACCTTATCTGCCCAATTCCAAGAGAATGCAATTAGTCTGATGAAATTCTTGTAACATAGGAGACTAAACAGCAAAGCTTCTGCTTGAGACTATTCACAAGTAGTTCTGGTTGCTTGTGCCTCACAGAGTTCATCCGGTGTTCTTTAGAGTTTTGCAAGCCAGTGTTCTCTGGAGTTTTGCAACTCAAATGACAGAGATGACTTCAGAACAGGAAAACATATGCAGGCTTGGCAGAAAATTTCTCCAGGTTTGATGTATGTTTATTATTATATTTCATTTATTAGATTTTGTTCCAGATCAGAGTCTTTAAAGTGATTTATATTACATTACCTCTTGTATATTTTCTCCTGTGGCATTGTGAGTTGGATTGAGATTCCACCAAGTACTTCCATTGTGGGAAGGGGAGTGCTAGAAAGTGGGAGTTTGATCAGTCTAACATTTTCACTGCTTTGATACTCTCCTGATAGTAGCTGAGTTGATGGGTAATGGCACATCTCATTTATTTAATGAAAAGAAACTGAACTAATGTCCAGAAGAAGACCTGTCTGCAGTTATTTGCTCCCTGTTTAAGGAAGGAGAATATTAATGACAGGACTAATATGAGCTGTGCTATTAAATTATATTAAAAGAAACCTTTATGATTCATTTAATCATATTTATCTCCATATTTAAAAAGAGATTGAAGAATTAAGCCTACATCTCTTGGTTTCAGTATGGTAGCTAAAATATAGTTTAAAATAGGTTTCTAATGGTTGCTTACATTGCTGCATTTTGTACCAGCTGTAGTTTTTTCATGATTTTCAAGAGAATCCGCATGTAAAACATATTGCAGTAATCCATATGATTAGACCATGAATATCTGTCTGAAGGGCCACCTGGTCAAAGAAGAGGTACAATTGTCACACCAGATGAACCTCGGCAAAGGCCCTCCTGACCACAGCTGCCACCTGTTCTTCAAGCAGTTGCTATGAATCCAGAACGACCCCCAAGTTGCACATCAATCTTGACGGGCCAGTGAAGACCCCTCCAAGACCAATAATGTCACTGACCCTGGGGCAAACAGATCAAAACATGAGGTCAATATAACAGTAACCTAATCTGTACAAGCTGTGGTGGAGATATAAATGTACTGATGATATCAACCCTTACAGATACTTGCCCAGTACTAAAAAGGAAAGCCCTGAGTCATCCTACAAATGTGTATGGTATACCAATATAAAAAAGAACAAATATTGGGAATAATCAGGAGATTATTCATTCAAGAGATTATAAATGCCCCAGGAGTTTTCTCTAAGTAGCAGATTAAAATAGATACTGTTCTGTATTCTATAGAGTAATCCCCTCGCTTTCAAAGGTTGAAGACTGGTAAAGAAAGGAACATTTTTTTGAGACAGTGACATTTTTTCTCTACAAAAAGTGATTACTGCACTTCTAACATGTCTACAAGGGGACGCAGTGGCTAAGACATTGAGCTTGTTGATCAGAAGGTTGGCAGTACAGCAGTTTGAATCCCTAGCACCGTGTAACGGGGTGAGTTCCTGTTACTTGCTCCACCTTCTGCCAACCTAGCAATTCAAAAGCACATACAAAATACAAGTAGACAACTTTGTTAGGAAGGTAACAGCGCTCCATGTGCCTTCGGCATTGAGTCTTGCCAGCCACATGACCAAGAACATCTTCGGATAGTGCTGGCTCTTCAACTTAGAAATGAAGATGGAAACTGCCCCTAGAACCGGAAATGACTAACATGCAAGTGCGGGGGAACCTTTTACCTTAACAGGTTTACAAAATAAGCAAACTTGTTCATAAGAAAAGAAATAAGAACATGAATGTAATCGTCCTTCCTAGATCTGCATATAAGAGCAGCAAAATGAAAATTTTCCAAACCCTCTTTGGCTCCAGTTCTGATACATTTCAAGCTGAGTATGTCCTGAACAATCTTGTCCTCTCTTTATCAATAATTTAATTACCCGGCTAGCCCATTGGAAAACTCTAGACAGTTTCTTTCCATACAACAAGGCTGAAAGTTCCCCCATTAGCTGGGAAGCTCCCTAGGTTGTTACAATAGGGAAAAATAGGGATGAGGGAGTCTTAGCCACTGTGAATGAAAGACTGAACATAACTCCAATTAACAGTAGCAGTCATTTACCAGAAAAAGAGTCAGCCTCA